ATAGTGATACTGCAGATGTGGGGAAAGGAATGGTGGATCTGAATGAGGAGTTGGCTTTGTGGCCACCTAGCCCGTCTGCACACCCAATAGGGTGACATGAACCAAACGCTTCTCAGCTTTTAGCCATGATGCCAGGTTACATCAATTGCAGCCTGCTTTAATTAAGGCATGGGACACTGGTGGCACTGTGGTCTAAACCACTGAGCCTTGGGCTTGCCGATCAAAAGGTCAGCGGTTTGAATCCCTGTGATGGGGTGAGCTACCGTTGCTTGGTACTAGCTCCTGCCAACCTAGCAGTTCGAAAGCACGCCAAAAAGTGCAAGTGGATTAATAGGTACCGCTCTGGCGGGAAGGTAAACGGCATTTCCGTGCGCTCTGGTGTGGGTGTTCTGTTGTGCCAGAAGTGGCTTAGTCCTGCTGGTCACATGACCCGGAAAAACTGTCTGTGGACAAACGCCGGCTCCCTTGGCCTGTAAAGTGAGATGAGCGCCGCAACCCCAGAGTCATTCGCGACTGGATTTAACTGTCAGGGGTTCCTTTACCTTTTAATGAAGACACTGACATCCTGCTCTTCTGAAAACTTTCTGAGGACCACGTTTACAATACCAATAAGAATACCATGAAAAGCACTCATCGCACTGCCTCTCTTGGATCTTATTCTGCCTATCCTATCCCTACAATGCTTCTGCATACCAGAAATGTCATCTGGCCGGGTGTGCTCTGCTTCCTGTGGGGAAATCACATTTTATTGCTGCCTGAGACCTTGGAGAAATGCTGCAAGCCTTGACGGACAGCACAAGGTAAGAAAGCACTGTGCATTTTTGCCAGGAGCAGCAAGCAGGCATTGCATTAACAGCAGTGTCCCACTGGGTACCAGTTCCAGAACCAGGGCAGCCCATATGAACAATCCTGGGCAAAGATGGAAATGGAATTAGAGCAACCAAAACAAGCACCCCTGGAATTGGGCGTATCTTAACTCCAGTCATGCTGCAAGCTGCCTGCGCACCTTAATCTGCTTCCTGTGAGCTATTCTTAACCTAAGGATCAACTTGTGTCCTTTTAATCTGACCCTATAAATGCCACATTCCCACAAGAGAGAGACAAATATACAGTCACCTGCTCTGAGAGGGTCAGGAATACAGAAGGCAGCAGTTTTTAGTCCAGAGTTCTGCAGCTTTTTAATACTTTGTAATGCTTCACCCAATGTGTTAAAACACAATGTTTCTTCGTATAGAATGATAAGTGCACCGATTTAAAATAAAATCAAGTTCAGGCTGACTTAGGCCAAAGTGATGCAGGGGCCTCGTTTTTGACAAAGTAAAAATGTAACCCCTTTTTTTTAAAGGATTCCTTTATTAAAATGAGCACATATGAAGTAGCCAATTAATTAAGGGCAGCAGTGCTTACTACAAAAATCCTAATTCCATGCCAAGGAAAAGGCCAATTTCTTTTATCTGAATTATTTATTTAACCGATATTTATCCCACTTTTTAAGAGGAGAATCTCACATAACAACAATAGAAAAAGCACAACAGAAAACACCAAAAGACTTTAAAATCAGCCAAGACATAAAAACGCACACACCCCGTCCCCCCCACAAAGCGAAACTATAACTTATCTGCATAACTTGACCTAATCTGTTGGCCTCTGGGGCTGTGCCAAACACCAAAGTCTCCTGCCTTTGGGGCAATAACAACCACATCACCGGCTCCTCCCAACCTGCTCTTCCTCTGCTCATCTTAAATGGCCTCAGCCCAGCATACCTGGAGGAGCGTCTCCACCCCCATCATTCATCCCAGACACTGAGGTCCAGCACCGAGGGCCTTCTGGCGGTTCCCTCCCTGCGAGATGTGAGGTTACAGGGAACCAGGCAGAGGGCCTTCTCGGTGGTGACGCCTGCCCTGTGGAATGCCCTCCCATCAGATGTCAAGGAAATAAACAGCTACAGTGGTACCTCGGGTTACATACGCTTCAGGTTACATACGCTTCAGGTTACAGACTCCGCTAACCCAGAAATAGTACCTTGTGTTAAGAACTTTGCTTCAGGATGAGAACAGAAATCGTGCTCCGGCGGCGCGGCGGCAGCAGGAGGCCCCATTAGCTAAAGTGGTCTTCAGGTTAAGAACAGTTTCAGGTTAAGAACGGACCTCCAGAACAAATTAAGTACTTAACCCAAGGTACCACTGTACCTGACTTCTGAAGACATCTGAAGGCAGCCCTGTTTAGGGAAGTTGTTAATGGCTGATGTTTTAATTTGTTTTTATATTTTGCTGGAAGCTATCCAGAGCAGTTGGGGGAACCTAGTCAGATGGGCAATATACAAATATCAATATCATCGCCATCATCTGATTGGCAGGGAAAGGGGCCACATAGCAATGGCAACCTCACCATTATGGAAGCATTGCCAGCTGGGCCAAAGGCCTGTTTTGTTGCCTTCTAAGGCTACAGGAGCTGCTCTCTCCCATCTCTGCTGCTGGCACACATGGGAATTTATGTGTGTGTTTCGTTGCTTCAGAGTCTTGATATTTTAAAGGTGGTTTTATTTCATTCACCACCCTGGTGTTCCTTGAGCCAAAAGCTGGATTATAAAATTTAGTTAGTACTGTAATTTATTTGTTTTTTTTAATGAAAACTGCATTTCTGAGGATTCTGGAATTCTGCAATAAGCACTGAATTCACAGAGCCCAAAGGACTGTTTACAGAACACCGTAACAGTTTGAAGCATATAACAGGGGTCAGCAAACTTTTTCAGCAGGGGGCCGGTCCACTGTCCCTCAGACCTTGTGGGGGGCCGGACTATATTTTGAAGGGGGGGAAATGAACGAATTCCTATGCCCCACAAATAACCCAGAGATGCATTTTAAATAAAAGGGCACATTCTCCTCATGTAAAAACACGCTGATTCCCGTCCGTGGGCCGGATTTAGAAAGCGATTGGGCTGGATCCGGTCCCCGGGCCTTAGTTTGCCTACCCATGATATAAAAGAAGCAGAATTAATCAGCGTTTAAAGCTGCACTTCACTTAGCTGACTTGTAGGGCAAGTTTATTAAAAGCTTGCGGAGCAAACCTTTGGGGCAGCAGTCACTGTGACCACAGTCCAACGTGTACCAGATCACATCCAAGATATTTGGAGCCAGAGTTGAAAAATCACAACCATGCCTCCTCCTTCATTCACCCCTGCACAAGCCTGGTGAGCAGCTTTCTGCTCCTTCCCACTGGGTCTCGTGCAGGAGAACTTCCCAGGGGATTGCGACTCATGGGACGTATCCATCTTGTACCCTGCCCTGCTGCCACTGCTCTTCAGAGCATCTAAACGTCTCCACATCACTTTGCCTCACAGCCTCTGACTATCACATTTAACTTGGGACGATACCTAGTCATATAAAATCAAGTCAAAAGTCCGAATGAGTATGCTCATGAAGAAGTGAAGGGCACAAGGAGAAGACAAAAGTGAGGTCAATCGCGCTGCGGTGATGGAAGGGGACCTGTGGCAATTGAGCAGATTTCAGGGATGTCACAATTTTCTTAGACAAGCATGGCCGATCTCAGACTCCAACAACCCTGACCCCTCCCATTGCAGATCCAGTTTCTTCTTTTCCTACCCGCAACCTGCCCAGTCCACCAGGCTAACTCTTTCCTTGGAGCTAAATCAGGCAGCAAACCTTTCTTTTTTAAAAGAAAAATTATGGGGGAATTCTCCTCTCTTCGCTAGTCAGAAAAAAGCACCCCAGCTTTCTAACAGCAGCCTCATTTATCAGCACTGAGTCAAGAATCCTCACCTGCGCCACAGCCAGGGTTTCAAAATTAATGCTGAACAAGTACAGCGGTACCTTGGTTTATGAACTTAATCCGTTCCGGAAGTCCGTTCTTAAACCAAAGCATTCTTAAAGCAAGGCGTGCTTTCCCATAGCAGCGGGGGGGGGGCGCTCAATTTACAAATGGAACACATTCAACAGGAAGCGAAACATGTTCTTATTCCAAGGCAAAGTTCACAAACCAAAACACCCACTTCCGGGTTTGCAGAGTTCTTAATCCAAGTTGTTCATAAACTAAGCTGTTCTTAAACCAAGGTACCACTGCAATGTTGAACCCTTGAAGTAGAGAACACAGGGTGCTCTCGTTGCTCTCCTTCCCTCCATTTCAAACTGTTTTACAGTGTTGGGGTGAAGAGAACAATGAGCAAAAGCCCATTAAGCAAAAGCCCCATTAAGAAATGGGGAGCAGCGGGTGGAATTCAGCCTTGTGTGGTGTACCAATGTTCTATCTGCACTGGCATATCAGCTTGCCAGATGAAGTGATGAGCCCCTGCCCTGAACCTGCTGTTCTGGGGGTTCTCCCACCCCACCCTGAGCCAATTTCAGGGGGCAAAGGGGGCAGGTGAAGGGCAGGAGAGGGGGCAACTCTCTTGCACAAGCAGAAATCCTCACGCAGGGCTTCCGCTGATGGGGTTCGGTAGGTGAAGCGCACCCAACACACAGAAAGGGTTGATTCGTATAATTTAAGAAGGCTGCTTGAATCTGCATATTGCAACAATTCTGCAGGCTGGTGAAAATACGACTTCCAACACAAAAGGGGGGTGAAGGGACCAGCTACCGTGCCCACGACTCTCCCCACAGAAGCAGTTACAGTGGTACCTCGGGATGCAAACGGGATCCGTTCCGGAGCCCCGTTCGCATCCTGAACGGAATGCAAGACGCGACGGCATGTCTGCGCGTGTCGCGTTTCATCACTTCTGCGCGTGACGTCATTTTGAGCGGCTGTGCATGTGCGAGCGGTGAAACCCGGAAGTAACACGCTCTGTTACTTCCGGGTTGCCGCAGAGCGCAACTCGAATGTGCTCAACCCGAAGCACATTCAACTCGAGGTATGACTGTATGTCGATTTTGCCCTTCCTTAACGGTAAAGCGGCCCAAAGCTGCCACATGAGGCAGGGAGAGAGAAATCCCAATTTGCAACGGGAATGACCGCTGCAGAAAAGGCCTGGGCATTTGGACTCTCACCTTGTAGACATCTCCGTACGTGCCGCTCCCCACGCGCTGGACCAGCTCGTAGTCTTGCTGTGGATTCCGCCGCATAATATCCCCACTCGAGCGGGCCAGAGGATCCATTGTCCGTTAATGCAGCCTCCACTTCCTCCCCCCTGCCCCCCCTCCACGAGGGGGAACAGGAATGGTGTGCAGCCGCCTCTGCCTTCCCTGCTTCTGGCTTTTGCGATACCGAGGAAGCAACGAGAGCAAGGTCCTAGCGAGGTGATCCCCCGGCGGCAGGCATGGCTTCCGTCCACTCTTCTTCGGACCTAGAAGATTTAGGGGGGAAAGGAACATTCATGAGAGCTTGTTGAAAGGTAGTCAAGGTGCTCTGGTGGCTCAGGCAGAAAATCTAAATGGAATCCCTGCTAGATAACACGGGGCAGCCCTGCTGTGCACAGGTCCATTCACTTCAATGGGGCTGCGCAAGAGAAAAATCTGGAAGACTGTGGCCCATGGGTTGGATCTTTCCATCAATTATTATAAATCAAATAAATAATAGTAACAATGATAACATCAAAAGATCCGAGGGTGCTGTACAACATTACGAACACATTTTACAGAGCATCAATAATAAAACATAATACAGCAGAACCTCGGTTTTTGAACATAATCGGTTCCGGAAGTCTGTTCAACTCCCGAAACGTTCTAAAACCGAGGATCAAGGGGCTGGCTGCAAAGTCAACGGGGAAAAATGAAAAACACGCCTTGGAAGCCATTCAACTTCCAAGGCGCAATCAAAAACAGAAGCATTCACTTCCGGGTTGTCGGTGTTTGGCAGCTGAGACGTTTGAAAACCGAGGTTTGACTGTAAAAAGCATAATAACAGACAGCATAGCAATAAAATAATCAAAATGATAGCTTTAACAGGACAAATATTATTTAACAGCTAAAGGCCTGGGTAAAGAGGAAGGCTTTTGCCTGGTGCCTAAGGACATGTAATGATGGCGCCAGGCAAGCCTCCCTGGGGAGAGCATTCCACAGATGGGGACGACCACAAAAAAGGCCCATTCTCTTGTTGCCACCCTCCAAACATCTAAGGGCCATAGAGAAGGGCCCAACAAACTGCTGCCCTGCTGTCTGTAACTGGCAGAGGAGGGTCCCCTCAGCTGGCCTCAGGCGACAAAAAACAGCCTCACCAACCCAGGCTAGCTAACCCACGGTTCTGTCTTCGAAGGCAGTCAGTGGCAAGGGCAGTGCTGCCATTGGCTGATTCCCAGTTGGCACTGACCCGCGACAGAGCCTTCTTGGAGGCAGTTTCTGCAATGCCCACCCTGGTGAGGTGCGTCTGTCTCCCAGGTGTTTGATGGCAAAGATACTGTTCCTAGCAACCTTGAGATTACTAGCTGTGAGGGGTATGTGATTGCTTTTAAAAGTTTTAGAGACTTTAAAGTGGTTTTCAGCTTCCTATTTTTAGCTGTATTGTTTTAGCACCACTGTGCATGTGTCGCCTTGGGCTCCTTTGGGAGGAAGGGTGGGATATAAAATTAATAAATAATAGTATTTCAAACGCTTGACAGAGGCTTTCCCTGGTGCCCTCCCTTCCCTGCCTCAGAGATTAGGCTTAAAAGAAGCATCCTATGGTAGCTGTGGGGTGTGTTTGGTAGTGTCCACCACAGTTTCTCCAGTTTGCAAATGTGCCCATGGGCCCAAAAGGCTGGAAACCCGTGACTTACTACAAGAACCCAATGCCAGTAGCGTTATCTGCATATTGCAAATGAGAGGGCTGACGTGGAGAGAGAAAAAACCTTGCCACTTTCGCAGCTGAGGCGAGACTTAAACTTCCAGCATCATGGGACACCACATGTCACGCCCAAACAAGGCCGAACTCATCCGCCAAAATAACAGAGCCTTACTGGGAGCACAGGCCAGGCTCCATCACAACATCTCGTTTGTCCAAATTAAAAAGACATGCACTAAAGAACAGCTAAAACTCTGCGCCACATAACTCACGAGTCTCCATCTGTATAAATGAAACTCTGTGCCCTCTGTGAATTTTGCTGCATTCATCATAGATTCTGTTTATTTTTCTCATATCTATAAGCTCATCTTTCTTCCCTCAGAATACATGTGACTCCCTGGAAGGGAATATACGCATCCTTCTACTAGTTCCAGGAAGAAATTTTTTTGGGGGGTCACTTTGCCCCCAGTGACTAGAACTTATGTGGTACCCCAAACCAACCACACTTCAAGAGTGTGCCAGCTAATGTTTGAACACTTTCAAAGCCTAATTGAAATAGGAACATAATGAGAGCAATAAAATACTAATTGTCCAGAGGGACAGATTGCAAGGAGCTCCCTCTGGAGCAAGAGAAGGCAGACACTTGAGAACATCCCTCATAATGTCGGGAGAGTAAATAGCAATTGACCCACACTGGAGTTGATATTTCTCTACTTAATAGCATCTATTTCCTACACAGATGCAAATCTTCTTGATATAAAATGCTGCAAGCACATCTCTTAGGAACATGGGTCCTTCTTAAATGCAACTCAAGATTCTTGGCCTGGCAGGTGCTACATATCACTTTTTTTCTGGCAACACACTGTGAAATCATGAATTATCTTGAATTCACTGTGAAATCATGAATCTTAGGTAGGCAGCCCTACCTAAGATTACTGAGAATAAGGATGAGAATAATTACAGCTGCAGTATCAAGGTCCCTTCAAAAGGTTCACACGTGCATTGGCTGTGTTCAGCCCCTCCCTGAAGGCACAGGGACAGAAAGATCAGTCAGTATACCTGAAGGAGCGTCTCCACCCCCATCGTTCTGCCCAGATGCTGAGGTCCATCACCAAGGGCCTTCTGGTGGTTCCCTCATTGCGAGAAGCAAAGCTACAGGGAACCAGGCAGAGGGCCTTCTCGGTAGTGGCGCCCGCCCTGTGGAACGCCCTCCCATCAGATATCAAAGAGATAAACAACTACCTGACATTCAGAAGACATCTGAAGGCAGCCCTGTTCAGGCAAGTTTTTAATGTGTGACATTTTAGTGTATTTTTGGTCTTTGTTGGAAGCCGCCCAGAGTGGCAGGGGAAGCCCAGCCAGATGGGCGGGATATAAATAATAAATTATTATTATTATTACTATTATTATTATTATTAGCATCCCAACTGCAGTGTGCCAAGGCAGGTTACATGCCCACTCAGACATCTGGGCCACAGCAATCTTTTGCTCTCCCAGAGGCATCTGGACACACCAAGGAAATGTGCAATGGGGAAATGGCGCAATGGCCATTAAAAGCTGCCTATGGAACGACGGATGACGGAACCCAGCTCTGGGCCTTACACAGACAGAAACACAAGAATCACTACATTGTAAACCCCTTGGGGGGGGGAGAGGAGAGAAGTGCAGAAACACCTTGAGCAAACAAATAAGTCAATGACCACAACAGGGGAGTGTCAGCTGCCTGGTTCTGAACAGCAGAAAAGTCTAATAACCCTTGATAGCTGGAGATGGGGAAAAGAGAGCATTAAGGCTCCCTTTGAGGAACAGATACCAAGACTGGGAGACGGCCCCAGATGGTGATCTGATCTTGCAGGCAATGGCATGGGATTGGCTATGCACAATCACTGGATTCCCAGGAACCAGAAGGCTCTTGTCTTTAATGTTTGCATCCCTGCCTTGACATGTCTATAGGTCTTTCCTCCGACCAGGAAATAAACAGGCACAGGAGCTGTCAGTTACTGGCAGGAAATATTGCATGTCACAGGGGTCTAAATAGCCACCCATGTGTTATATTTATAGTGGTTTATCTGATGCTTTTATCATTTTCTGATTTTTATGTTCAGTTGCAACAGATATTACTGAAGGCCCAGAAAAAATATATATAATAAAAGCAGTTAAAATATGCAATACTGAGCAGCTAAGAGTATCATTTATTAACTAGATGAAACAATATAACAGGGATATTGGTAAGTATACAGTATTCCTTCCAGGTATTCTCTCTTTGCCAAGCTTATTAATGCATTATCCTGTGCATGTCCATACTTACCAAAACAAAAACAAAAAAACAGAAATGCAAATGCCAATTAGGTAGGTAGCTCCCAGGATGATAATGTTTCATTACAATTATTTCTTTTTATGTTTAGATGCTGTGCATCTGTGGTATTTTTGAATTATATTATTATATTTTAGAAATATATTATATGAAAGTAACAGATTGCTGACTCAAGTGAAGACTGGGGAAATGAAACACAACGTATGTACACTTGCACACACTGTCTCCCACAGGTTTGCATTCATTCTGTACTCTCCATGTTCCAATCAAGACCTTTAGCTGCTGCTTTTCCAAATGCCAGACAAAACAGTCAGGGGAGAGGCAGAGCAAGCTGGCAGGCCCCATAAGGATGATGACTGCTATGGATTCTCCCGCAAGAGGAAGCACTACATTTGCCAGTGGAAAAATCTCTCACAGTGACCAAGGCTAAACTTTTTTTGCAAGAGAAACTATTTGGCTGGTGCACTTTGGTTCAAAAAGTGTTTTCCCCATAAAAATAGTAACCAAAAAGGAGAAAAGAAAACTTTTTACGTAACAAAGGATCTATTTCAGCCCTCAGAATGTTTAATATCGAAGAGAAATTCACCAGAAATTCCCTTTTTTAGAATAGCAAAATACATTTTATGGTCAAGGTGCCAAGTACACTATGGCAGGATGCTTGAATGCTGAATTTATGCACAGCAGAGAATTCAGCAATTTGAGAATTTCAGCTTTTACAAACACATGAAGCTTCTAGCCCTCAAGACCATAAAGGTGGGCTTGAAAATATATGTCCAGTACAAGGCTTGGTGAGATCTAACAAAGCAGAACTGAATAAGTCAAAAACATTTTTAGTTTATTAATGGCCTTTCCTATCAAAACGAATTTGAGTATTACAGAAACTTCAATACAGACACCTTTTTGAGACACAAAAGGGCATGCAAGAAATCAGAATTCAATAAACAAAAGCAACCATTCGCTGTCAGCCAAACAGACCACAATCCAATAGAACTACAATCGCTTCCCCAAAAAAACCTCACCTACCAAAAAATGTGTGCTTGCCCTTAACTTTCAGAGCCTTCCCTCCTGGTCTTCCACCACTGGAGAGGCAATTAGAGCTTTAGCTGATGACGATTTTACCAATTAAACTTGCAAGAGCAGAGCTGAATTTCCAGCAATCAGGAGGCACGAGTCAATACAAAAGCAGACTTGGATACAAGGGGCAGACATAACTCACATTTGCTTGCTTGGCTGGCCAAGAGAGGCTGCTGCAGCCTCCAGCTTAGCCTGGCACAGACAGCACGGATGCTGAATTTGGATGCGCTTAGCACGGAGCTTACTCTGCTCCTGTTAAAGGGGTTTGCAACAAAGCTAATTGCTTTCACATGAATCCCTGCACAGTCTCTTACTAAACCATATAAACAGGAGGCCAGAGATGACCCCCTTGAGAGCAGGAAGACCCTAAACGGGCTTCTGAGCCAGGAAGACTCCATCAGAGGGAGTCAGATCTTCTCAAACACGTCACATGGCATCAGAAGAGCACAGGCCCAGTTGGGGTTGCAGATTAAAAAGCAAAACATCAGGAATTTAATTGTCAAACTTAATTGTCACCAGGGGTTGTGCTGGAAATTGTGGCATTTCAAGCTGGGCAGCAGACTTTTCCTTAAGCGCTTCCAACATGTACAGACCAGGGTTTTCTAACCCAGCACAGCTTCTGTCTCACAAACCTAGTTATTTGAGAGTGTCAGCAAGCATATCAGCAGAGGTGATCCGGCTTACATTGTTTACTTGGACTTTCCAAAAGCTTTCGACAAAGTACCTCACCAAAGGCTCTTGAGTAAGCTTAGCAGTCAAGGAATAAGAGGAGAAGTCATCTTGTGGATAAGGAATTGGCTAAGTTGCAGGAAGCAAACAGCAGGAATAAATGGACAGTTCTCTGAATGGAAAGTAGGAGGAAGTGGAGTCCCCCAGGGATCAGGACTAAGACCTGTGCATTATAACTTGTTCATAAACGATCTAGAGTTAGGAGTCACTTCTTAAAATGAGATTGCAAAGAGCTCCAAAAGGACCTCTCCAAGCTGAGTGAATGGGAGGTAAAATTGAAAGTGCAATTCAGTGTAAACAGGAGTGGATACATAGAGGGGCCAAAAATAATTGTTTCACATATATGCTCATGGAGTCTAAACTGGAGGTGACGGACCAGGAATACGACCTTGGAGTCGTATAAAGATGGCTTTAAAAGGGTATAAGACAAATTGATGGAGGAGAAGGCTATTTGTTGATGGCTGCTAATCACTAGGGACGCGGGTGGCACTCTGGGTTAAACCACAGAGCCTAGGACTTGCCGATCAGAAGGTTGGCGGTTCGAATCCCCACGATGGGGTGAGCTCCCGTTGCTCGGTCCCTGCTCCTGCCAACCTAGCAGTTTGAAAGCACGTCAAAGTGCAAGTCGATAAATAGGTACCACTCCAGCGGGAAGGTAAACAGCGTTTCCGTGCGCTGCTCTGGTTTGCCAGAAGCGGCTTAGTCCTGCTGGCCAAATGACCCGGAAGCTGTACGCCGGCTCCCTCGGCCTATAGAGCGAGATGAGCGCCGCAACCCCAGAGTCGGCCATGACTGGACCTAACGGTCAGGGGTCCCTTTACCTTTACTAGTCACTAGTCTGCTTCCATTGTTCTGCTTCTGAATACCAGATTGCTGGGAAAACTACAGGAGGGGAGAGAGCTTGCGGGTTTCCCACAGGCATCTAGATGGGCCATTGTCCGGATCCAGCCCACCAGAGACCGTGACTGCATGCAGGACGGAATGGAGGAGAGAGCAAAAGGATCTCAAGGGGTCTCAAAAGCAAGAGGAGGTGGGAACCCACCAAACAAAGTCCTTCAGCCCTAACTCCAGGGATAAAGGCAGGGATTGGGGGCTTCCCCCACCTTACTCCAAACCATCTTGGGGAGGCATCTTTCCATCTTGGCAGACTTCAGGCTTGCAGGGTCTGTTTTGGGGGGTGGTTGTGTGGTTTTTTGCTAGGCACCCCCCAAAAAAGAACCACCGCTCAGAACCTGGTGGTCAAGACAGGCACTTATAATCTAAATTTCCAGAGTCCAGGGGTTTGCCTTGAGCAGCAGAAGTGAGCGGATCTGACCCCCCAAAACCCACCCCAGGTCCCTCCCATAGTGGCAGCATCCTTCTCTTTTGGAGACAGCCGCGTCTGTTGCAGATCCCCCCGAAAAGATCCTCCAGGAGAGGCAGATCCACTTCCCGCCTATCTGGAGACCACCCGTTCTCTTGTGGTGCGTGTGAAGGAAACCACACACACACACACACGTGTACACGTGTGCGCAAGAAGCCTCGCCACCCGCCCGCTTTCGCACGCCCTTCCCTCACCGGGCAACCTCGGGTGGGCCAGAGGGGGGTCCCAGCTGCCCCCCACAAAAAGACCCCCACCCCGGTCAGCCTGTGATCTCTGAACGGGGGGCAATGGCCTCCCCGCACCCACCTCCTCCCGTCTAGCCTGCTGGGAGAGCCTCCCTCCGCCTCGCAGTCTACCTGAGCCCCAGGCCTGAGGGGCCTCGAGTTGGGGGGCACTGAACCCCCCAATTCCCCTCCCCAGCTAATGAGCAAGCGAACCCCTTTCTCCTCAGGCCGGCTGCCCCCCGCGCAGGCCCGGCCCGGGTCCTTACCTCTCTCGGCCGGCCTCTGAGGGAGGAGGCGGAGGAGGAGGAGGCCCCTCTTTGTCCCGCCGCGGGTCGGCGGCCTCTTGGGGCGGGGGCCGCCGCCGACTCCGGCCTGGTCTCCTCAGGCTCGGCCTGCTCTCCTCACTCCGCGCGGCCTCGCCCGACGCCGCCGCCGCTCGAACCCTCTCCGGGCCACGCCAGACCCAGGCAGCCGCCGCCGCCGCCGCCGGTGCCGCCTTCGCCTGGCCGTCCCGCCCTCGGCCCGGCCTCCTCGCCAGCCGCCCGGCTGAGGCGGAGCCACAGCGCCCCGAAGCGGGGCTTCCGCCGCCCAGCCGGCCTCCTCCTCCTCGGGCCTCGGAGGAGCCATGGTCCCCGCCGCGCTCTCCTCCTCCTCCTTCCCACTCCGAATTCAGGAATCCGGCGTGAGGTAATCCGGATTAACGCCGCCCGGGGATTAGCCGCGGCCGGCCCTCGCCCGACAGGTGGATCCGGATTCACGGCCGCCGCCGCTGCTTAATGGGGGGAAAGTGACAGGCGACAGGATTAAAACGGGGGGAAAGGAGAAAGGGGAAAGGGTCTCCCATTCCCTCGGGGACAACCCTGGAGATTCAAGGCAGAGGAAATGAAGGTGGTTGTTTTTCCCCCTCCGCGCAGCAGCGCAGCGTTGTTAACCTGTGGAACTCCTTCCCACAGGAGGCAGCAGCGGTGGCCACCAACCTGGGTGGCCACAAAAATTGTTGCTGTTTAGTCGTGTCCGCCGTCTCTTCGTGACCCCCTGGACCAGAGCACGCCAGGCCCTCCTGTCTTCCACTGCCTCCCGCAGTTTAGTCAAACTCATGCTGCTGGCTTCGAGAACACTGTCCCACCATCTCGTCCTCTGTCGTCCCCTTCTCCTTGTGCCCTCCATCTTTCCCAACATCAGGGTCTTTTCCAGGGAGTCTTCTCTTCTCCTGAGGTGGCCAAAGTCTTGGAGCCTCAGCTTCAGGATCTGTCCTTCCAGTGAGCACTCAGGGCTGATTTCCTTCAGAATGGAGAGGTTTGATCTTCTTGCAGTCCATGGGACTCTCCAGAGTCTCCTCCAGCACCATAATTCAAAAGCATCGGCCAAATGGTGTCAAAGAAGGACAGAACGTTTTTTATGTATGCAACAACAGCAGCAAGAATTCTCATCGCAAAACACTGGAAGACACAAGATTTGCCCACTCTGGAAGAATGGCAGATGCAAGTGATAGACTACATGGAATTGGCAGAAATGACTGGCAGAATCCGAGACCTGGGAGAAGAGCTAGTGGAAGAGGACTGGAAGAAATTCAAAAACTACTTGCAAAAACATTGTAAAATGATTGAATGTTAAAATGATGCAGGATATAAAGATAATATGGCATTAGTGACAAAGCTGAAAGGAATATGCAAAAAATATTCTATAAGAAATAAGGGTGAAAAGAAAAAAAATTTCTTTCCAGTAGCACGTTAAAGACCAACTAAGTTAGTTCTTGGTATGAGCTTTCGTGTGCATGCACACTTCTTCAGATACACTGAAACAGAAGTTGCCAGATCCTTCTATATAGTGAGAAGGTGGGGAGGGGTATTACTCAGAAGGGTGGTGGGAATGGGTGATTGGCAGATAGCTGTGATGAGCCTGTTGACGACTTAACGACTGCAATAGGTCTTACAGGAAAAAGCAAGGGGTGAGAAGGTGAAAAATGGCTTTGTCATGTATAATGAGATAAGAATCCAATGTCTTTGTTCAGACCAGGTCTCTCCATGGTTTTAAGTTTGGTAATAAGTTGCAATTCAGCAGCTTCTCTTTCCAGTCTATTTCTGAAATTCCTTTGTAGTAAAACAGCTACTTTGAGATCTTGTATAGAATGTCCTGGGAGATTGAAGTGTTCTCCTACTGGTTTCTCTGTCTTGTAATTCTTGATGTCGGATTTATGTCCGTTTATTCTTTGGCGTAAGGTTTGGCCTGTTTGTCCAATATAGAGAGCTGAAGGACACTGTTGGCATTTGATGGCATACACAATGTTAGACGATGAGCAATTAAATAGTCCCGAGATGGTATGTGTGATGTTGTTGGGGCCAGTAATGGTGTTGTCCGGGTGTATGTGGCAGCAAAGTTGGCATCTGGGTTTATTGCAGCCACATACACAGGCCATATACAGTGGTGCCTCGCAAGACGAAATTAATTCGTTCCGCAAGTTTTTTCTTCTTGCGAGTTTTTCGTCTTGCGAAGCACGGTTTCCCATAGGAATGCATTGAAAATCAATTAATGCGTTCCTAGGGAAACCGCTTGCCAGGCTGGCGGTGCGGAGAAAGGCTTTTCTCCCCACCGCAAGCCTTCAGGACAGGTACGGGAACAGAGGGGAAGGCGCGCAGCGCTTTCCCTCTGTTCCCGGGGCTTGCGTGGGAGGAGGGTTTTTCCTCCCCACCGCCAACATTCAGAACAGCATTCTGAATGTTGGCGGTGGGAAGGAAAACCCTCCTCCCACCCCAAGTCTTCAGGAAAGCCATCCGAAGCCGGGTGGCGGGAGAAGGCGTTCCCGCCCCGCCGCCCGGCATCGGAGCTTCGTTCCGAAGCCGGGCGGCGGGAGGAGGCGTTCCCGCCCCGCCGCCCGGCATCGGAGCTTCGTTCCGAAGCCGGGCGGCGGGAGGAGGCATTCCCGCCCCGCCGCCCGGCATCGGAGCTTCGTTCCGATGCCGGGTGGCGGGAGGAGGTCCGAGGACAGTGGGGAAACAAACTCGCAAGAACTCGCAAGACGTTTCATCTTGCGAAGCAAGCCCATAGGGAAATTCGTTTTGCGAAGCGCCTCCAAAACGGAAAACCCTTTCGTCTAGCGGGTTTTCCGTCTTGCGAGGCGTTCGTCTTGCGGGGTACCACTGTACAGCCCTGTCGTTCTCCTTTCCCAATTTTGAACCAATCAGTTGTTCCCCTTCATGGATCACTGCCTTGCCATGGCAAAGGGGCTTGAATAACTCAGAGAAGCTATGTGCTATGCCGTGCAGGGCCACCCAAGATGGACAGGTCATAGTGGAGAGTTTTGACCAAATGTGATCCACCTGGAGCAGGAACCGGCAAGCCACTCCAGTATCCTTGCCAAGAAAACTCCATGGACAAAGACAACAGGCTTCAAAAGAGGAGACAAATTTGTGGAGAAGGCATCTAGCTCCCTGTGGCTACTACTGGCCACAGTGGCTCTGCTCTCCCTCCAGGGCCAGAAGCATTTTCAGAAGGCCAGTTGCTGGAAACCACCCCGGAGAGAACTGCTCTTGTGAGGATCCTAGGCTAGAGGGGCCATTGGCAGGTTCTTGTAACGTTCCAGATTAACTCAGAAGGAGTAGCAGGCAATCTTTATATCTCATGCACACATGCACCCAATAGTAATAATAATACATAATAATAATTTTAATAATTTATTATTTTTACCCCGCCCATCTGGCCGGGCTTCCCCAGCCACTCTGGGCGGCTTCCAACAAAATATTAAAATACAGTAATGCATCAAACATTAAAAGCTTCCCGAAACAGGGCTGCCTTCAGATATTTTCTAAATGTCAGGTAGTTGTTTATCTCTTTGACATCTGATGGGAGGGCATTCCACAGGGCGGGTGCCACCACCGAGAAGGCCCTCTGCCTGGTTCCCTGTAACTTGGCTTCTCGCAGCGAGGGAACCACCAGAAGGCCCTTGGCGCTGGACCTCAGTGTCCGGGCAGAACGATGGGGGTGGAGACACTCCTTCATATAGTGCTTTCAGTGTGTGGATACCAATTGTTGCCACCCTTTTTTAAAACACAAGCATATGATCACACCTCTTTGGGATAATTAATCTGGCACAAACTGCAGGGCTGGATGCTGCCCCTGGGATCAGAGGCGTTTTGTCCCCAAATGCCAGGAATCGCCAGTGGGGAGAGGGCAACTGTTGGCCTGATCTGGAAGCAATGCTCTTCCTATGTTCTTATAGAATCACAGAATATTAAGAGTTGGAAGGGACCCTGAGGGTCCTCTAGTCCAACCCCTTGCAATGCAGAAATCTCAGCTAAAGCATCCATGACAGATGGCCATCCAACCTCTGCTGAAAAACCAAGGAAGGAGAGAGTCCACCACTTTGCTTGGGAGTCTCTTGCGCTGCCAAACAGCTCTTACTGTCAGAAAGTTTTTTCTGAATGTTTAGTCTGAATCTCCTTTCTTGTACCTTGAAGCCATGGGTTCGAGTCCTACCCTCCAGAGCAGGAGAAAACAAGCATACTCCCTCCTCTATGTGGCAGCCCTTAAGATATTTGAAGATGGCTATCATATCTCCTCTCAGTCTCTTCTTTTCCAGGCTTAAACACCCCCAACTCCTTCAACCGTTTCTCATAAGGCTTAGTTTCCAGACCCTTGATCATCTTGGTCTCCCTCCTCTGCACACCTTCCAGCTTGTCAACATCCTTCTTAAATTGTGGTGCCCAAAATTGGACACAGTATTCCAAGTGTGATCTGACTAAGTCAGAATAGGGTGGCTATTCTATTACTTCCCTTGATCTGGACACTAAACTTCTGTTGATGCAGCCTAGAATAGCGTTAGCTTTTTTTGCTGCTGCATCACACTGTGGACTCATGTTCAGCTTGGGGTCCACCAAGACCCCCAGATCCTTTTCACATGTACTACTAGTAATACTGGTGACCCCCGCCTTGTATTTGTGCTTCTGCTTCTTGCCAACAAAGGTCCGTATTTGCCAACAAAGGTCCGTATAGTTAAAGCCATGGTTTTCCCAGTAGTGATGTATGGAAGTGAGAGCTGGACCATAAAGAAGGCTGATCGCCAAAGAATTGATGCTTTTGAATTCTGGTGCCAGAGGAGACCCTTGAGAGTCCCATGGACTGCAAGAAGATCAAACCTCTCCATTCTGAAGGAAGTCAGCCCTGAGTGCTCACTGGAAGGACAGATCCTGAAGCTGAGGCTCCAGTACTTTGGCCACCTCATGAGAAGACAAGACTCCCTGGAAAAGACCCTGATGTTGGGAAAGACTGAGGGCGCAAGGAGAAGGGGACGACAGAGGGCGAGATGGTGGGACAGTGTTCTCGAAGCTACCAGCATGAGTTTGACCAAACTGCGGGAGGTAGTGGAGGACAGAGGTGCCTGGCGTGCTCTGGTCCATGGGGTCACGAAGACTCGGACAC